CGCTAGTTTTTGTCCTTGTGTGGGTTGTCTCGGCCAGGTTGGTTATTACTCGTTTGATTCTGTTTTATTTGGGTTGACTCAGCCATGTTGGTTATAACGCACTGGTTTCTGTCCTTGTGTGGGCTGTCTCGGCCATGTTGGTTATAACGCAGTAGTTTCTGTCCTTGTGTGGGTTGTCTCGGCCATGTAGGTTATTACGCGCTAGTTTCTGTTTTGTTTGGGTTGTCTCGGACAGGTTGGTTCTAACGCACTAGTTTCTGTCCTTGTGTGGGATGTGTCGGTCATGTTGGTTATAACGCGCTAGTTTTTGTCCTTGTGTGTGTTGTCTCGGCCAAGTTGGTTATTACTCGTTTGATTCTGTTTTATATGGGTTGTCTCAGCCATGTTGGTTATTACGTGCTACTTTCTGTCCTTGTGTGGGCTGTCTCGGCCATGTTGGTTATAACGCACTAGTTTCTGTCCTTGTGTGGGTTGTCTCGGCCATGTAGGTTATTACGCGCTAGTTTCTGTTTTGTTTTCGTTGTCTCGGCCAGGTTGGTTAAAACGCACTAGTTTCTGTCCTTTTGTGGGATGTTTCGGCCATGTTGGTTATTACGCACTAGTTTCTGTCCTTGTGTGGGATGTTTCGGCCATGCAGGTTATAACGCACTAGTTTCTGTCCTTGTGTGGGCTGTCTAGGCCATGTTGGTTATAACGCAGTAGTTTCTGTCTTTGTGTGGGTTGTCTCGGCCATTTTGGTTACTACGCGCTAGTTTCTGTCCTTGTGTTTGTTGTCTCGGCCATGTTGGTTATTACGAGCTTGTTTCTGTCCTTTTGTGGGTTGTATCGGCCATGTTGGTTATAACACACTAGTTTTCGTCCTTGTTTTGGTTGTCTCGGTCATGTTGGTTATTACGCCCCAGTTTCTGTCCTTGTGTGATTTTTCTCTGCCATGTTGGTTATTACGTGCTACTTTCTGTCCTTGTGTTGGTTGTCTCGACCATGTATTTAATTACGCGCTACTTTGAGTCTTTTTCTGGGCTATCTCTACCATGTGTGTTATTACGAGCAAGTTAATGTCTTTGTTTGGGCTGTCTCGACCTTTTTGGTGATTATGCATGTTTCTGTCTTAGTTTGGGTTGTCCGAGCCAAATTGGATAGCACTCGCTAGTTCTGTCTTTATTTAAGTTGTCCCGGCCATGTTGGTTATGACGCACTAGTTTCTGCTCTGTTTGGGCTGTCTCGGCCATGTTGGTTATAACGCGTTAGTTTGTGTTTCCTAGGTCGTGTCATGCGGTGTCGATGTGGTATTGTATGTCTTTTCTTGGTAGCCTATTGTTATGATTTGTTAGAATTTAGGGGTAGTCTCGGTCTATAGTTATATATTATATCAATATTAAAAAATTGTATCCTTTGGTAGTCACGTGAGTATCTCCCAGACGCCAGTAAAACCCATGCTAAACGGGGAGGAGTATTGGCTTTGCGGGATGTATAAATACGCAACCACACCCGATCGGGATGGGTACTTAATATCCAATACCTCGTGTAAGGAGAGTACCACGCTCTCTACACGTTATAGACCCCGAGCCACAACTATTTCAGGGGTCCATAGTAGGCCTTTTTGTAATGCAGAATTTCTTTCCCTATCCAACATACCTTTGACTATTGCAGTCTTAATATCCCTCTCTGTATCTCAGTGGACCCATTTTGCACTATTGAATTTATTCTTAGGTCTTTCCACTACTTTTCGTGGAAATACCTTTTGATATTGTTCCGATTATTGATACCATACGGTGATTACGGTTTCTCCATTGGCCCTGTGTAAGAAAACACTTATTCTTACATGAGTTGTCTCTCTATGCCCTCTTTTTCTTGTTAACGTCATTCCTCTATTATTGTAGAAGATATCGTTAAAATATTTTTCAACATTGTTTGTTCAATCTTAAGGATGTTTCGGTCAATTTTGTATTCACGTCTTTCGACGGCAAATTAATATCCAGTAATACGTGTCATGGCTAAGAATGCGACGAGAACGGTAATGAAGTGATAATTTAAATGAGACTGGACATGCAATATCTATGATACTTATCATTATCCGAATAAGTTTAGTTTATAAGGGAATTGGCGATCAACCAAAGCGGTATGGTAAGATACAGGACATATTGTGAAGACAAGATTATGAGGGTCTTGACGTCAACCAATGCGATATGGTAAGATACAGTACATATTGTGAAGACAAGATTATGAGGGTCTTGACGATCAACCAATGCGATATGGTAAGATACAGTTCATATTGTGAAGACAAGATTATGAGGGTCTTGACGTCAACCAATGCGATATAGTAAGTTACAGTACATATTGAGAACACGAGATTATGAGGGTCTTGACGATCAACCAATGCGATATGGTCAGATACAGTTCATATTGTGAAGACAAGATTAAGAGGGATTTGACGATCAACCATTACGATATAGAAGATACAGTTCATATTGTGAAGACAAGATTATGAGGGTCTTGACGTCAACCAATGCGATATGGTAAGATACAGTACATATTGTGAAGACAAGATTATGAGGGTCTTGACGATCAACCAATGCGATATGGTCAGTTACGGTTCATATTGTGAAGACAAGATTATGAGGGTCTTGACGTCAACCAATGCGATATGGTAAGATACAGTATATATTGAGAACACGAGATTGTGAGGGTCTTGACGATCAACCAATGCGATATGGTCAGATACAGTTCATATTGTGAAGACAAGATTATGAGGGATTTGACGATCAACCAATACGATATAGTAAGTTACAGTATATATCGTGAAGACATACCTCGGTAACTGTTGTTCTTTTTATAAACACATGTACATTAGTTTCGTATTAGTTTGTATAACATATCGGCTTTGATGAACATGCTCTTACTTATATTGCGAAAAATGACCGCTTTAGGCTGGGACACTTGGTATGTTATACTATAGAACAGGAAGATGTTAATATGAAAATTAAAATCATTAAAGTTTGTCACAGGTATCAATGTTGAAAATTCACATAAGGCATACTTTCTTATAAAAATAAGAAGATGTGGTATGAATGCCAATGGGTTTGACTGGCGGCTGGGATATACCCAGATGACTACCAGAGACAACTATCCAACAGAGCCCAAATTATGTGAAAGTAAGCAGCAATATGTAACCGTACGGCCTTCAAAAATTAGAAAACCCTTAACCGTATAGTTAGCTTTAAAGTGCCCAGACACGAAAAATGTGAAGCAATTCAAACGAGAAAAACCAACGACTAGTTTTATGACAAAAAAAATAAACGAAAAACAGTAAACAGCACAACAAGTAACAACAAACTGAACAAACTGTAAAAATCAGTTGGTAATGTCATGACTTACCAGATGGTACGAAGCACCAAAAAAAAATAACGTAATTTAAGACAAAACCACAAAGTACTGGTACAGTACTTGCAGTTACTGACAGATAGTTCAAAGCTAATACAACTAATAAATACATCGTAATCTCCCATATTTCAGTATCAATCAGTACACATCCAAGAGATTTAGTGTAAAGACAAACACGTAATTTCATAAACAGTCTAAAAAGCGCAATAGCCTGTTCAATGCCAAGATATAAGTACAAAGTATCGTCAGGATGTAGAACCATATTTTTTAAACTGTATATAACTGTTAATTTTTGAATATGACATGTGTAAGCACTAATTGAAATGAAGATTACTTATTGAGTGTAAGGATGCTGTAAAAAGTTCATAGTAGGAAACAGCAAAAGGTAACATTTTTTCGTCTTGAGTTCAATCCAGACATGTTACCCCCTTCACTTGACAATTCATATCATTCTATGAAGCTTTTGACACATCTCGTCAAATCAGGCTTTATAAAACATGTATTTCGTTAGTAGGGTGATGCGTGATATATATATAGAGCGGCATGGAAATTGTATCTCTGCATGTGCCGTTTGTCATTTTTCAGAATATCATAAAGGATGACAGTGTACTCGTCATGCTGTCACACAAGTGTTTGCTTTTATCAAAGACTTCTTTTCTTGCGACAGCTGTATGATATAATATCTACATAGTATATATTATATATAATGTTGATATCTATCACGCCAGCAAGCATATTTAACCCCGCTGCATTTTGTCCTAGTTCGGGAGTCTGTAATTAAGTGGTTGTCGTTTGTTGCTGTATGTCCTGTTTGTTTTGCATTTGTTGTTTTGTACGTAAATCATGCCTTCGGTTTTTCGTTTGAATTGTTTTGCATTTTGTCGTATAAGGACCTTTTATAGCTTGCTATCTGATATGGGGTTTTGCTCATTGTTGAAGGTCGGTCGTAAGATGACTGGTCGTTGCCAACATCTACGTCAGTTGGTCTCTGGTGGATAGTAGTTTAATTAGTAATTATACCGCAGCTCCTTATTTTATATTGAGTATACTAGAAAATATGTTCAATTTCTGCAATATGTTAACGTGTCTATATCAAGTCAGGAACCTCGCTAGTGATTTTCTTCGTTTACAACTTAGAATTTCTTTTAATGGCTTGTTATTTATGCCACCAACTTGGTAGTCTCTGTTGATTTTATTCCCAACTTGTCTGGACTCGAGATGATTTAGAGCTTGACATTTGGAATTAACAATTGTCTTTGGTTGAGGCCAAATGCAAACCTTTCATGTGTCGCATTAGGTTTTATTGTGTTACAAGGTGGTTGTCTCATCTTTTTCCAGAGTTTGAAAATCAAGTTTCAAAATGTAAAATGGCGATATGTTATTACTTCAAGTTCAAATATAAATGTTCCCAAGTTTTACATCAATAAAACATACAATCGTATATGACAAAGTTGGACATTTTGAATGATGGATAAATATATGTAAGTGAAACAATACTATTTGTCAAAGCTATATCCAACCATTTAGACATACCTTATAAAATAGAACAGTGTTTGGTGTTGTTTTTTACACTCGTACAGTGTAAGATTCAATTATTTCTCAAAAGAACTTCACTAAAAGACTTTGCACAGGTTTTTAATACAGGAAATCTGTGCTGTCATCATATTTCACAATTGCAGTTGATTAAGCAAAACATTATGCAACAACAATCTTGAAACACACCATCATATATACATGTATACATAAACATATTAATACAATTAGGTATGTTATTAAAGTACAATACACTGAATAAATATTCGTATTACCTAACTTATTTTACCTGATCGGGCGTTTCCTAGACAAGGACTTACTACAATTGTAACGTAAGGGTACCCACACTGCACCTATTTTGACAGTTTCATCATCTACGTTTATTTAAGATCCAGATAAAAGTTTCCATTCTATGTTTATTTTGTATATGTATCCTTAATTACTATAAAGTTCCACACATTTGATTTTGATTCCATACTGAATCATAGAAAAATTGGTTTGAATCGACCTCCGAACAACCCAAGATTCTTTCGTAAATATCGAATAACGATTTTTACATCGGATGACCGTGAGGGCATTCCCGTGAATGGTTGCCACAGACATTTCTACCCACGTGACTTTCGTTTTTGACTGATAACCGAACGCAAAATAACATTCCTTATCGCTTGTTATAATATAAATATTTATGAAAATAATTTTTAAGAACATAGATAAATGATATGGAAATGTTTTGTCGCGAGAAATATACATATCAATAACAAATCAAGAATACCGAAAATTATTAGAATAGTAGAATAGAATGATATACAAATGAATGAAATTTATATATACATGTAACTATTATATACAAATATTAAAATAATATATAACAACAAACCAGAGTATACTAATTTGTATCACTACAATATAATAGTTATTACGGTGAGGTTGAATTCCCTGTCATTTATTCATCATCCACGAACGAACTTGTCTCAGAAAAAAATATATCTATGTACCTTAACCTCACTTTCAGGTATAGAGATGTGATTTTTTTTTTCGGAGATAAGTGCTTGTGACCATCCACAAGAACTTGCGATCATCCGATGTTCACAATACTTCAGTACTTTGATTTGTTTTGCTTCTCTACATTTTTTGAACAATTTGACATTCGTCATTGCTTACTATTCATTTTGTAAGAAATTGATGCCTCGGACATATTTCAATTGCTCATTTTTTATGCGACGTTTCCGTATATTTTACTTTTCCCCAGGAATATTTCATCTGTTTATATATAATGTGACCGTTTTTTGCATATGAAAACATAAGTTTAGCTGTGTTGAAAGACGCGCATAATGGCAAATTCTAAAAGCACAAATCATTTAGTCTCTTAGAAAACCTATAAGATTTCCGCTTTTTTTGGGGTTATGAATTTGGTGATTCAAAATCGGTATTACAAACTACCTTATTTTGCATTTTTAATGGAACATCCTTCAATTACGTAGTTTTTTTTCAGTTACGCCCGATGAGGTCAGTAAATCTGAAAATAAATTACTTGAATTTCCTTGATTTGAATTTCAATACATTTAACTTATAAATTCAGAATAATTATAAGCTTATTAATCTTTGAAATTGTATATTCAAATCTTTGAAATTGTATATTCAAATCTTTGAAATTGTATATTCAAATCTTTGAAATTGTATATTCAAATAGTTTTGGTCTTTGTTCTGAGTTGCACATATTGTCTTTCAGTATGTTAACAATTTATAATTGGTACGGGAATTACCTGTTACGTCATTACATCAGGATTTCAACTTAAGGTTTTGCTTGATCGGAGTAATTTTTGTATCATCAAGTACAAATAAAATATTATTGATATCAGAAGGTCATATTAAATTCAGAGCTACTATGCATATCAAAAATCAAAATCAAGAGAAATATGGATTTTATGATTAAAAACATTTTTATTATTCAAATGTAACAATATTTCGTCCCAGTTAAAAGAAAAAAACCAGTTCTATTAGTCAGCGTTATCATACATCGAACACAAAAGCGTTAGAATAGGGGTGGTTTATAATCCCAAAACTAGTTTATCCAAACCATGTTTAAACGTTTATAAAGTCTGACTTTTTTTTTAACTTATTATTTGATCTCTCTGTGCTGTGATGTGTGACTGTGACGATCCCAATTGCAGAGGTATTTGTATTTTTATACATTTCAAGGCATTGTCTGATAAATCAACGACTGTCCTATAAATTTAATGTATGAATATGTACATCAACGTAGAAACCATAATGTTTACATCTTTGATTGTCTTGTTGGTAGATATCTTTATCTTCCTCTTACGTAAAAAACAAGCTATTTACATTTTTTTACAAAAATAGATAAAATTACTATATAATCACATGTTTGCTTTTACAAGTAGAACACCTATTATCCAGCTGCTATCATCGTAGTGCATAGTTTGTCTAGCAACTTTGATCTAGCTCGTAACAAGTTCGAGTATCTCGGTACTTGCAAAAAGTAGTCATGCTTAGGGTATGAACACAGATCTCCAGCCGAATCCGTAACCTGCTGGTCTCCGATTCCAATAACCATTAGTTTATAATCAATCCCGTCTTTAATCACACGAACAGCATTTTCAATACTCTCTGTACTATCATCGACAAATAAAACTCCTAGCTTCTTGGCACCTTCGCGGTTTGAAAAACCTGACTTCATCTTCCTCAACAAGTTTGGTACTCCCGGATAATTAATGCTTGCAAAAGCGGATAAGTTTTTGCCAGCGGAAATCGGAATGTCTGTAATTTCTGGACAGTTATCAGTCAATCGCCCGATCTGTAAATTTCCGTTTGAGAAATTGAGGCTGTTCAAAACATCATGGATGAAAAAATTTATCATTTGAGACTTTCTACTTCCGAGGGCAAAGGAATCATAAGAAAACAAAACATCCAAAGGACCAAGGTCATTACACACTGAAAGGTAAAAAGAAGTATTGTTCATAATAATGACAAATAGAAAACGAATTTATGATATTGGTACATTGTACCGTAAATTGCTTTTAATTAACCAAGAATGATTTTCCGAAATGTCGATCAGCTGCAGATAATTGTTATCAAATCAAAGTAAATATAAAATATTTCATAACAAAGCAAGGCAAAATTATTGTTCAACAGTTCTTATCTATAAGCCTGACGACGTTTTACAAGAGCCCTGTCAATTAAAAGACGACGGTCATCTTGGTCCTAAAATCTAATTATTGTACCTAATAGAGACCAAATGATACATCAAAAAGGTTGATTGTAATAACCTTCACAAGAAAATGACCTTGAAGTCTTTCTGTTATTTTGTCTTTGTCGTTGAGTTGCTGTCTCATTGATGTATATCCCACATATCTCCTTTTATTCATAATTAAAACAAAATATTCTATCAATGGTCATGACATCATTTATAATTTACCGCTATGTCTACTTCTGACATGCAGACACACATATAGATTGAGTTCAAACTGACCAAATGTTTTCATAAAAGGTGACGATGATGCTATATGTACTCACTCCTAACATGTTCGCAGTCAAGTTTTTATACAATTTAGGAAATATATGCTACAATTTGTCTTTATATAAATAAAAAATAGCTAACGAGGGTTAAGAGAGTGATTATCTCCTCGGCTGGCAATAGGTTTTTTTTCAAGATTTAACAATCTGCTCTATTCCTATCATCCTCTCAGCCATGTGTTTATCAATTTAACTTTTTAAATTGAACGCTCTGTTATTAATTTATTTTAAATTGAGGATAGCATTAAAAAATAGAACCGGCATAGTCATGTGTTAGAGTAGAATGTTACCTTCGTATTAACCAATAAATAACTGCTGGCATACGAATCAAGTTTATATGAAGTCTTTAATCAATGAATATTCAACTTTACGTAAGTTTTATGGTTTATCAGTTATGATTAAAAAAAATAATTATAAGATACTTGCTAAAGTGATAAATACTTTCACCGGTCGATATGGTTCATTATGCCAAAATTAATTTCCAACATTTTACATTTTGATGTAATATGAATGATTATATTGAAAATAAAGATGAATAAACTTTATGAAGATGTTTATGCCATAGTTACTGCAAAGCTGAGTGGCGAGGTCAAATAGTAGCAAAACAGAATTATAATCATTTTACCTCTCTGTAAACACATAGCTTCCGCGTACATAGGTGTTCGAGAAATGAACGCATTGCGAAGATTTTTTATTGTGCAATTCTAATATGTTTTATATCGAAAATTTCTCCTTCGGCCTTGAAGAAAGCTGTATTTAGGGTCGTCAATTAACTGCCCGATTTAAGAATGACCCTCATCATGTCATATTTCATGGAGCTGTGAAAAAGTCGAAATGCTTTTTAGTGCAACGGTTTATCAGTTGCGGTCTTCGAAAGCAGTTGAAAATATTGAATAATTTAAGTAATTTAATTGAATTTTACAAGATTTTAAGTATTACTTTAGTCCTTTCACAGTTTTTGAAATATATACTCCTTCAACACTCTCCTGTTTTTATCTACGTGTAACGTTCCAAACTTTTGACTCTGGTTTTCCTAATTTAGGTCAACCCAAAATTGCGTATTAATTATATAATACGGCTCAGTCATTATCGCTGTCTTAGTCAATACCACTGTCCTGTGGGCAGTCCAGGTATCACGATAATGACCAGTTCTTCAATAACTATTATGTTTATTTCATTGAGGACCCATGTTTTTAAAAATTCTCATAAATTCAAATTGTTCAAAGCAAACTCGGGTTATTGTAAGATTTCTATAAGAAAGAGTGAAGACCAGTCATAGTGGTAACTATAAGTCACTGCCATTCATTTAAGTGCAATTTTTCAGTATATAAATACAAAATAAAGTTTTCTATAATTTTATAATTCTTGTTGCTGAGTAGTTTGTCTCTAACAGCATCGGAAAGTACGGCAAAACGATCATTTGAGTTGTCTGTAGCAGACGTGCCTTCCAGTTCAGCCATGTTCCAAACGTCTGAATCTCGATTGCGTTTTATTAAAGGGACATCACTCTAAACAGAGAAACCACGCCCCACTGGTCATTATCATGTAAAATTTCGTTAACGACCGGTTTTCTGGTCCGTTTTTTTCTGTTAAAGACCGATGGAATTTTTTACTAAAGAATAAGGAATGTCATGTGGCCCCTTGTTATCCAATAAGAGAAGCTAATTCCTAACCGATATGGAATAAACCAAAATAGGAACGTATAGCGGCTATTATCTCTCGCTGATACTGTTATTTGGTATACACTTAAGTAGTCCAGGATATTCGAATGTAAGGCACCGAGACGGTTTTCTAAATTCATACCCTCTGTGTAATGTCATGAATGGACGGCGTGCAATTTTCGGTGAGTGTAGATATTGAATACTTTTCTTATTTATAGCCCTCATGATTATGATTAGTTATTGCATCTTTTGTTTCGATCCCTCGACACAAGAATAGAAAGACAATATCTATTATGAAAATTATGTACCACTGTAAATTGAGAGAATCCAGTAAAATTCAAAAATTTATAGAATCTAAACTTTTGCAATAAAATAATCAGCACAAACACTCAGTGTCCAACTTTTCTGGATATCAAAGGAAAAATAAATGTTTTGGTGATTAAGAACAAAAAACTGCATCAATTTAAAAACGACTACTAGATTACTTTTTGAATTTGAGCTAAGTTGGACATTGAAACAGTTCGGCCACTTTTGAGACGTACCTGGTACATTCCTAGGCTGGTCAGGAGCAACACTACAAGCTGTGATTGCCAAGAAATCTTTAATAGTACTAAGAGCTGCATGCGAATCTACATGGAACATGAACTTCTGGTCAGGATCATTGGCTATTCTTTTTAGTTCAGTCTGATCCACATTTTTACCTATTCCTACAGCAAAAAGGTGTATTCCAGCTTCCCGGCATAAATTTGATTGTTTTTTCGTCTCAAGAGGCCTTCTTGATACGCCATCTGTCAAAACAATAGCTAATTTCACAGCCCCTTCTCTGGTTAGTCCAGGCCCGAAGCCATACTGTCGTATATAACGAAGGGAATCAGATGTATTGGTTCTTCCACTGACGTACTGAATGGCGTTTACTTGACGTTTGATTTGCGATTTGGAAAACCCAGAATTGATCATGACTATTGGATGAATCGTGGTACTATATACGACCACACCAACTCTTGTGTTGCCATGAGTGACGTCTAAAATGTCTATAACGCTGTTGACAAAGGCCAATTGCTGTTTGAAATCTTCCGGCCAGATGCTATTTGAAGCGTCCAACACAAAATAGATGTCGGCGTCTTTGCCATCGCAGTCTAAAGGATAGAAAGTTCAAGAATTGTATTTTTAAAAAAGACAAAATATGTGCTATCGTTTTAAATATTAAATTTGTATCATAACAAGTTCTTTCGATCCTTATGTGGTTATGGAGGAGTACAGGGAGCAGACATGGTTGTGTCAATGTTTATGAAATATTCAAGAACTAATGTGTGTTTTTGGATCATAAAAGTGTATTACTAAAACTTTTCTTAATTCTCTAAACATGACATGCGATAACAAGTAAGATAATTGCAAACTGTCATAACTTATTATGAAAAAGGATGAGAAATATGTTTTGTAAAGGTTATCATGGATGTCAATTCTCCTCCCTACATTTAATTCTATTGACTGTTCATAAACAAAGAATTGTTTACGTTAATTTTTGATCATAAAACCCAATATTCTATATGTATATTTTTCGTCTATTAAGCTTTATAAATATAAACTTGATCTGAAATCATGATATAACGTTCTTATTGCATTTGATTACATTAACGGTACCGATTTGTCTGCACCAGATGCGCATTTCGACAATAAATGACTCTTCATTGCTACTCGAGGCCAAAATATTTGAAAATCTTAAACTCATTAAAAATAAGGAAGAGCTCATAACCCAAAAAGGACAAAAAGTATGTAAATCAGATGGAAATAATATTTATCATTATATGAATTATCCAATAGAAAATAACCTGCTTTAATGTGTTTTGGTTTTTTGTGTCATAACAACTCACATGATTGTGCCGGTACATCTCTAAGCACGTAGTTTGACATAATCTGAGCTTGATCTTCCGTTATAGGTTTTAATGAGTAGGCTGCTAAGCCTTTTTGAATCTCAATAGGTAATGGAGTGGTCTGCCTTTGTCCCTGAAAAGGACCTTCGTTATTGCCATTCCACTGCACTGCAGTGTTATTGCTATTTTCTCCAAACAGTCCTGAAATTTGCTGATGTATATTATCCGGAGATGTGCTTATACCCTGTAACGTAGGTAACGTAGCAAACGCTTGCTCTGACTTTTCATTCGATAGTAAAATTGTTCTTTGGTGATCTTGTGAACCAGGCTGGATATTATTTTGGTCAATAATTTCGTCTTCGTCTTTGGCCGTACTATTTGTTGCTTCTGATATTGTCTCATCTATTACACTAGAAGTTGTAGTAAGATACCTCTCTACTTGAGGCGACCGAGTTAAAATATCCCATAACACTTTAGGAGATTCGGTGCTGTTTTGCCCTTGACCTTTCTGCAATGTTGGAGATGCTCGATTTGCCTCCTGCAGAGTCAAATAAGTCATAGGCTGTAGCAGTAAAACAGATGGAAGTGTAGTTGCAGGGCTTGTTGTTGATGTTGTTGGTGGTGGTGTTGTCTTCGTGCTGATGGCACCAGCTGTGAGAAATAATATCACAATATAATAATAAAACATATCACGAAATGATATCATGTGAGATTACGAAGCCAAGAACAACGGAGCATAATACTATTATTATATAAGATTGTTTTATTATTGGAGTTAAATCAAACTTCTTTGAATTTCAGACACATTCTCAAATTTTTACAGCAGCTGTAATCACTATTTGATGTAATAAACATGCCAAAAAATGTGTCATGACGTCATAAATTGAAATAAGGTGTCCGACGTCTGACATATATTGCATCAATAAGTTCTTTAAATATCTCGAAGTAAATGTTTGGTCAAAATTAGATAACTTTTTAACCGAACTCCTACTAACTTAAATCAGGACTTTTTGTGTAATTTTAGTTACACTGAAACCTTGACCGTGTCTATTTATATTGCAAATCTCCTAGATTTATTTAGAAGATACTAATACAGGTAACAAAACAAAAACTGAGGAAATCGCATGAATTCCAAAAGGATCGAGACCGGGTTCGTCGACAGGAAAAGGGTCTCTTGATTTGCCCGCATCAACCGCCATGCAAACTCACACTCGGGTGATTTACAGATCAGACAACTATTCTAGTATCTAAAGATAGAATTAAGGCGACAGTAGTTTACCGATGTTCAAATCTCGTAAATCGATTAGGAAGAGACAAATCAAGTTAAAAACAAAACTGAGGGAATCGCATGAATTTCAAAAGGAGCGAGATCGGGTGCGTCGACATGGTAAGCGTATCTTGCTATCCAATCATCAGTCGCTCCCCGCATGGAATTCACTCATCTTTAATCCCAAGTTCCCTCGGATTCAACCACTTACGGAAATGTGGATTAATGAGTGACAGGACATCTCATCAATATATTTGAATGTGAAATTAAAGAACTTAGCAAGACGACTTTTCTTTTGTCTTTTAGAAGGTTCTTTGTGTTTGACTCATTTTGTATAAAAAAAATAGTCTTCCAGTAGGGGTAGAAGGAATACTGACTGTCTGTTGAAATATCAATCCCAAAACAATTGTGCTGTCGATAAACAAATCCAGGGTTTTGATGATAAGATCTACGGTTAGTTTTCTGTCGAAATCAGTGTGATTCTTCACAAAGTAATATTTATGATATTATATAATATGGAATTTGTATCTACGATTTTTATTTTTGTAGAAAGAGCTCTGTCTAATAAGATGATGTAGTCGATCATTAAACACGGGGAGTAGTAGCGTAAAGCATAGAAAAAAATCTTAAATTTTGAAATACTGTAAAAACGTAAAGATTGAAGATTTTGGAGTAGTTGTGGGTGCCACATGTGGAACAGGATCTGCTTACCCTTCCGGATCACCTGAGATTACCCCCATTTTTTGGTGGGGTTCGTGTTGCTCAGTCTTTGGTTTTTCTGTGTTGTATTTTTGTTTGGCTTATAAGTTTGGATGTCCCTTTGGAACCTTTCGCCTCTCTATTTTAATTCTGTTTTGTCTGTGATACAGTTTGTACTTTCCTTGCAATAAATATAATAAAATCAGAGGACAATCTAAATGTCTAGAAACAGAAACTATATTGGGGTGAACAAGATTGAAGTAATTACCACACTGAAATTTTTCGAAGAAGATTGTAAATCAATCTGGTATTCACCCAAACTAAACAGCAAAGAATTGAAATACATGCATGTTTAAAGAAAACTAAACTAAATGAAAATCATGCATCAAATATCCCCAATTACATTGCAGCAGATTATCTACAAAGAATTAAATGTTATTCAATTTACATTAAATGTTTTCTTTAAATTAAAATATTTATTTTGTAGATTGTTGTCAGTGGAATACGTAGGCGAGTTTACTGCACTAAGATTTTAGTAATACATGCTACTTAAAAAAAATCAAGATCAAACGCAGACACTAACTGATAGTACATGTCACCCTCTCTAAAACTCAACTAGAGGCTCCAGTGAACCTGAATTGATCACCTAGATTCGTGTGGTTGTAAAGAAATATAACACCAGTTATTAGCGACTTGTCAGAGGGTCTTCCAATCAACAATCCTGTAAAATCATTTGCCTTGAAGTTTCAAAGGAGATTTTTTTAATGGCCACATAAGATTTAATGATTGCCTCTGGAGGTCATGTATTTCGTTCAATCAGAACCAAATGAAAATGTTTGCAGTGGTCCTTCTTTATTTATTCTGCCAAGTTTATTTCACAATGGCTAAGTGGTATCATAGTAGAAGATGCACATATGATTACCTATTGGGTTTCAGTGGGAACTATGTGCCGTCGATAACACCATGTCTGTAGACCGATCAACATTAAATGAAGATATTTTTAGAAAGTTTCAAAACATTTCACCTTGTAAATTAAAAGATTGCTTTTGCGGCCATATTTTTGTCTGATTGGAACCAAATTAAGATTATATTTAGAGGACCTTCCTTACAACGTTCCTGTTCAGTTTGTTTGAAATTGACCAAGTGTATTCAGGAAAGGAAAAGAACACGTGAAACATTACGGACGACGTAGACGTCGGATGGCCAAAGATGGCTAGTTGAACAAAAAAAAAGTTTTATCTGATGTTCTATGTGATGTTGAATTTGGCGGTTTTTAATAACCTTAACTAGTTTAGTTTAATTATTCTTATGTGACTTTGTCAGTATACTGTAAATACACATACGTATGGCTTGGTATAGATAGACAAAGTGGAGGTTTGTGTGCAAGTATATATATTTAGTTGGTTTCAAATCACAACTATTTTTTTTTAGCTCGGATCAATTCAGGCTATCTGGACCATGTTGTTTCCGTAATGGTTTGTACATTTGATTTTTGTAAGAGTTAGGTGTTGATGGCTTGTGTGGTCTGTTGTACTGTCCAATACATTTTTTCTGTAATATCATCTTTTATCTTTTTTATTAAATAATATTTTCCAAAATAACCGTGAAAGCTATGTTGTACCCACTGACATAAGCTAAAATTTCGGACAGGCTTCCCTTTGAACCCCCTCTGTTGATGGAATATAATAGACATACCTTAAGGGGGTTCAAAGGGAAATCTTACAAAATTTTCAACAGAATGAGCAGCTTTGTATTTAATATTTATTCATTTATATATCAATTGGACTTTTCTTTCATTAAAGCTACAAAAACCAATGCTTAAGATGAAAATAAATAAACTATGCAACAAAACAGCAAAATAGTTCTATAAAAAAACGACATAAACTATCTAAGGAATACTTTGCGTTAGATAATATGTACTCACCTTGTTCAAGAATGTCTACGTTAAGAGATATGATAGTATAATTAAAAGAAGATACCCAATTTGAGTATAAAAGTAAAATAGGCAAAACTAAAACAAATATACTTTATTTCTGTGACTTGACACACTAACATATTTTAATTCTAAAACAAATTATTTTATTTGATCGTAAGATCTTAAACACAATGTTAGTGTTGAATGTGGGTGTTATGAGTTTATAAAATGAAATTGTTTTTTTTTTCTTTATTTATAAGACAATGACAAGTACTTTAAATTGGCATTAAGTGATTCATTTGCATACTCAAATTGCACTCAAGCTACAAATAACAAATTTAAAATAAAAGTTATCTAATGGACCACAAATACGAGTGCTTATATATAAATGTTTCCTTACCAACGCATGTACTTGTAGGAAGTTTGTAGTTCAGTCCATCCAGTGCCTTAAAATCCCCGACTTGGAATACAAAATGCTCATCTGGATCACTAGCTATTTCTTTAAGTTCTTCAATATCTGCTCTTTTTCCCACACCTATCGTAAAAAGTTTAACCCCTGCCTCTTTCACTTTCGTTGCTTCTCTTCGGGTTGCCCTTCGGTCTTGAGATCTACCATCACTAATGATAATGGCCACGTGAGTAGTGTTGCTTCTTCCGCCATACCACTTTTTAAACATATGAGTTCGTAAAAACCTCAACGCTTTCTCTGTTCTGGTTTTTGATCCATGTCTATGGGGTATTCTTCTTATTGCTGCCCTTAAAGATGGAAGATCCATATGTGAACGTAAGTAAAAGCGTACCCAAAATGTTTGTGCATACAGTATCACACCAACTCTTGTTTGCTTTCGTCCAGGTCCGATGTCGAACTTGCCAACAACTCTTTCTATAAAGTCCAACTGACGTGTGAAGTCAAGTTCCCAAATACTTCTTGAGGTATCTACGAGGAAAACTAGATCAACCCCTCCACATGCTAATGCTGAAAATATATCGCAGGAACCATTATACTTTATAAACTAATATAAATGGTAAGTTTGACCTTAACATTAATTGATTTGTCATAACAGAAAAATCTTAAGAGTTTAATTTAGTTATTCAGATATTTTCTTTGTCATTAAGTCAGTAACGGTCAGACATTTCACTTGCAGTCAACAAGTATTTTTCAGTCAGTTGTTTTCCGACGATTCTGTATTTTTTTTTCTTTTCAGACGTTAATACAGCTACTTAATATTCTGAAAATAGGCTTGACATATCGTAAATGGTCGTAAGCAGACGATACTGAATTGTATCGAATTGAGTGTCTGAAAATTGACTGAAAGACTGAAAATGACTTCCTTTCTTTTCCTCGATTCGGACGTCTCCGAATGCAATTAGAAACCGGATTTGTTTTTGACATAAGTAACACGTCAGGTGACACCAGCGAAGGAGAACTGAATTAATACCCTTCCGGATCATCATAATTCACTCCGGTTTTCAGTGAAGTTCGTGTTGGTCAATATTTTTATTTTTTGTGTAGTGTGTTGCGAATATTGTTTGTGTTTCGTCTTTTTTTTAATTATGATCATAATTCTGTCTGTTATTTTGTGTCAATTGGTTTTTTTTATATTACCTTAAATTTCGTAAGTATGTTTCCGTCATTAGAGTCGTAAAGTATCGGTTAAAACAATCACGAAAAACCTATACATTCATTGAGCAGTACATCACTTAACAGAGATCACACAATGAACATAGAACAATTGAAAATGTGAACGAAACGATCGACCATTAAAATCTAAATATTGGGTATATATTACCGTGTCAGACGAAAGCAACATAAGTGACATTGTCTTTTTTTACAAATGAAATATGGTACCGCTTACAGTTACCATGTACTGATACAAATCATGTCTATCCTCATTTAAATACCCCAACTTGAAGAATTTATTATTATATATATCTTGGGTAAACTTAAATAGAATAGCAACCCAACAATACCAAGTACAACAAAAATATACACAGTCTTTACATGGAATGGTATTTAAACTGATTTCAACAAAATTAGCTTACGTTTAGTTTGTCCCTATTCGACAGAGAAACTTAGACACTTCAAATTAATAAAAACTTAAAGTATTTCAAAAATAACATGTAAACTGATACTTTATTTATAAAAGAAATCACACAAAGTAATATCCACATGTTTGGAAAACAATATATCGTCCGTTCTTTTCAAATATCAATAAAAAATAAAGAAGATGTGGTATGATTGACAATGAGACAATTACTCTCCACCAGGAACCAAATGATGTTGAAGTTAACAACTACATGTCTCCGTACGTAATTCAACAATGAGCAAAACCCATACCGCATAGTAAAGCTATAAAAGACCCCAAAATGACAAATGTAAAACAATTCAAACGAGAACTGGTCTCTTACAAAACAAATTGAACATCTTCCTTGGAAATACCCACAGGAATATGGCAAAAAATCTTCTAGGGAACACAGTCATTGTATTTTAAGGCGTATATTAAGATGTTTGTACTTTATGGAAAGGTTCCGGCAGAGATGATTACTTAACAATATGCCTCATTACATAGATCAAATCAATAGAAAGTGCTATTCGATTAATTTTAGCAGTAAAACAATTACATTGTTTATTTCTAGTTATCAGATTGAGACGCCAGCCGAAACATTTGGAAATTTTCAACGATAGTTGCGTAATCTTTGTATATACCATTACCCCTGACTATCAAAGAAATTATTGATATTTGCTTCTATTTTTAATTTTATATCTATTATTACTTGTACCATATTGTTTCTACAATAAACACATTTCATAAAAAATAATAGGATAATTTATTAAGCATAAGAATTATTAAATTCACGTCTTCATCGTCTGGTAATGTATTGAAGTCATAAATATGTCTATTGATCTGCTTCTTAAATTCTCCTTTAGTAATGCAAAAACGTAAAATAAGTAGAGGACGGATTATTAAATAGTATACTTTTTCAAAGATTTCCATGTATTCTTTTTTCAATAAAAATATATGAATGGTTCGTGTAGAGTTCGTGGAAATATCTAATTCCAGTATAAAACCACTTAAAACACTTATTCATTATGGCAATGCATCGAATTACCTAAAAAACTGAAGTACATGCTTAACTTTGACAATACTACGAGTAAATGATGAAGACGGCAGTTGGTTAAAGTCATATATTATAGGCATTCTTTTTATTTGTTTACATATAAAAGTAGTATTCTCTTCTTGAAAAGGGTATGTAAGCCTTGAACTCCTGAACTTTCAATGACTTCCACACAAATGTTGCAAATAAAATAAGATAATTAGTATCAGTAAAATCCATTTCAATACTTGACATCTCTTAGTCAATACATTTAAAACATCCTTCTTTGCAGTGTATTGCTTGAAATTATTAGATTGAACTTAAAATAGTTCATAGACAAAACATTTTTGCTAAATCTTAGCTACATATCCGTCAGCATAAGTGATTCTATGTGTGCTTATTGTTATTAGTATTATCATTATTATTATTATTATTATTATTATTATTATTATTATTATTATTATTATGTTAGCTCTTATCCGTTTTATGTGCATGTATCAAATTATTATTGATATATTGCCTCATTAAACTCTTTCCTTATGGCATACCATGTGAAGTTTAATAAATATGGTTTTTTCGTGGTTCTTAATAAAAATTGACCATTTCATTATGTTTAGAAGGCTTTTAGTTTCCTCTATCTCTTACTGTAGTGTTGATCAGCAATTGATGTCAATTGGCTTTCAAATTTCTGATCGCGAGCAAACTTTCTAAGATTAATTTAAGAAACACGAGTCATACGTTTTATTATCATAGTTATCAGCTGGCTTTATCGGTTTCAAACCTGTAGTTAATAAAACATCGATATGCCATCCATTTACAAAATAATTTTTTAAGGGAATTGAAGCAAAATAAATGTGATTTGAATATGATTCGCAATTTTCTTGTTAGCCGCATTTAGAGCAAGTGTTCAAGTTTAACAGATGTAAAACATGTAAGCCAGTCTGAACGAACAGTTAAAAGCAGAAACATACTAAACTTTGAAGTTTGTTAATGTTTATATTTTTGGTAGTATTCCCGGTGCGAAATTATGTAATAAATAGGCAAAGTCGTTTGTAGCATAAGATTTTCTAAAGTTTCGAATTTCTTTAAAACATTGTGCCGTTGTACAAATATTTACAATACACAACTTATGTTAGATTTTAATTTATAATCTTAGCTTCTTCAAACAAAACAAATTATATCTTGAGCTCTTTTCTGAAAATTTCAAATAAATATGTTTCATACAGAAAAGGTAATCTAGTAAAGAAAACAACAAGACTTGCCAACAAGAAAAACCTCGGCCATTTTTATTTGTGTTCACTAAAGATTAAATATAGGCATAATGTTAAACATTTTCCTAATATTTGCCAATGGACGTTGAACAAACAATCAATCAATCATTTCAGATGCTCTTTGTCATATATATAGTAGCTATTCTATCGGTATGTGATAAGAAATAGTCAGTTGCTCGCCGAAGGTTTACTCCGAGCATTCCGGTTTCCTACGCCGATTACAAAAATAGGTATGCGAATGAAATTAAAAAAGTGGTGTTCAACACAGTAAGAAAATCAAACAAAAATGCCGACTATTTGTAGATATATCTTATGATTACACAAATTATTGGCAACTTTGTGCGGGTAAATTTTGCACTAGATTCTATAGATAGCGTGAAACTTTGTAAATCTAAGCTTTTATCAGTTAATTTCATCATAAAAAAATCATTCTTACAAAAAAAAAATGACGGTTGACGGTTGAAGAAACCATTTGGACATAGTAGTTCAAAGTTGAAAATTTCAAATGTTCAAAATTCTTAAAATTAATCCGAAGGTCAAATTGATGTCAGGAAGACACCTTATATTTCATACGTATTGACTTATATAAAAATAATTGAAATTAATCACCTTTATTCGAATTCCTGGTCAATAACAATTGTGTTTCGGAAATGGCCAAAGTGGACACCCCTATACTTCTTGAATCCTCTCAAGTATGTTACAAATAATGTGAAAGTTAGGTTTTTGTTCATGAATCATTGTCTCATCACTAACTGATGTCAGACAATTGTTTCTTGAATCATAAGTACTCACCAATTTGTTATCAACACTATTTCATAGATAGATTGATCACCTTGACTTATTCGTATACGCAATCATAGTACTTTTACACTCACCTAGGAAAATCGTAATCAGTAGAAACAAAAAAAAAACTAGTGGGTTGGATAACAAAAGTCTTAAAATTAGCTTAATTTAAAATTTCTTTCTTTTTATCCACAAATATATCATAAACATGCTGAGACCTCCTTGTAATTCTAAGATTCGATTTATTGTTGATATTTACTGTTTACTAAGAACATTTTGATGTAAAATAGTTAATGTTTACATTATCTTAATTTAAGTTATATATAGATATAAGTGTTAATTAGAGAAATATATTAAATTTAAGATATTTCACAGTTTGACATTGGAAAAGATACAAACAGCTTTACCAGGGTAACCACAAAATATAAAGTTGACTCGGTTTTTTTTTATTATTGAGATTATATCCTCACACTTGAAACATTCTCTTTTCATTGAAAATAATATGAAAGGTTAAAGTTTTGTTAGTTGTACAGAACACAAAAACTTAAGGTCATATGAAATAAGTTTCTGGTGATTATAATGTTCAGGAAATTATTAAACCAATGCATGCATGTAAACTAAATAAGTCCTCTGTGTGCGATATGTATATTTATTACGCATAATCGACAAACAATATTTCATTTATTGATTGTTATTTGAAAACTTTGGCTGCTTATTATCTTTCGGGTTTTTGTGCCGAATTTTATCGATTGTGGCCTTGATTAACAATCAATACAGAATCATTGAGCACGTGAGATGTTTATATTGTACGTGCGTTCCAATTAGTTAATTAAACTTTGTCCTAACTGTTGTTTAATTATTTGGTGTATTCACATTTCTTTCAGAATTGATTGATAATATTTCTTTCCACGTTTGTTTACCTTATCTTTCATTACGGGTTTCCTCTTCGCACTTGCGATTTGTGGTTGCCGAATTTCTAACGAATGACATAAAATGGACAAGGTCGCTGCCTACGGAATAACTGTTTGCGAATTAGAGTGCGGGAATACAATAATTCAAAAGCAGATCATTTACGAAGATTTAGATAAAATTAAGGATTTTCTTTCAAAAGAAAGTTTATGTACAGTTGGTTTATAGTAAAACATAGCCATTCAAGTGTATATATAATAAACATATCACGACTTAAAGTATTATGATTGTGTCTCAACTTCCCAAAATATTCTACGGCTTGTGGAATATTCAGATAAGACAATTTTGTCACACAATCGCTATATGCGAATCATTTTCTTATTCACAAATAATCTTTTTGCGTTCGATATCTTTGATTGCTTTAAGAGAAACAGCACATCAAATTATCATGAGGGCATCCAAACCTACAACTCTATTACAGAACTCCGTTACTTATAACGTATGCATATAATCTTGCCAAGACTGGATGAAAATAAATCTTCTGCCCCCCAAAAAATGAAGGATGAAATGTGTAAAAGATCGAAATGATTGATAACCGGCCTAGCATCAGATGAAAATGAACACCCCTTCAAACAGCTGAGTCGCAATCGGGTGCAAATTTGATTTTCAGATTTTTGAATTGAATTTTAAGACAACTTTTATTTCCTTTACTTCAGCAAAAGATTTTTTATGGATTTACAAAATGCTTCTTTATAGCTGGTTTTATCATTATTTACGCATGGTTTCTGAATCGTGCACTATCAAAATTGCATTATAATGAAGGATAACAGAATATGTCTACACCAGACAATCAGATGGCTATCAATAAGAAAATTATAACTTAGATCTTATTTCCCCTTTTGATATTAAAGCTGTCTATAATAGAAATCCGTATCTATATTTGATTCCAAATGATTGAGACATTGTTTGATAGGTTTTGTGTGGGTGCTGGATGATTAAGATTAGAAAAGAATTTATCTTTGTTTTTCACTCTTTGCTAATAATATTTTTATTTGATTTACCTAGAGATTAAATGCTTATTTACTCTGTTGATAGATATAAATATTGATAACTGATTTGACTGGTTAATAGACAGACACTTTGTTGCTCTATCCTTGAACGTTCCTGGAAGGTTATAACATGCCAGATGTGTGTTAAAAGTTGAAAAGTATGGTACAGTTATTCAAAGTATTCAGGTATTTTCCCGCACAACTAGTAGTACTCTTTTTATGTTAAGATGGGTAATACATGTATATATTTTGTTTGCACATTGTTTTTCTAATAAGTTTTTTCATATACAAAATAAGGTCAATTTCATAAAAAAATGTAAACTTGTTAGTATGAGTCTTAGAAACTGGGGAAGGTTGAGGTTAACTGAACCCTTTAACAGTTTCGTTCCGAATGCAAACAAATTTGTACATTTCAGATATTGATCTCATATTGTTTATACTACAGCTATACACATAATTAAAATGGCTACAATTATAGTTATTGAAATGTCAACACAAAAATAGAACTTATGTTCCATCCTTAAACGAGCCCCAGATGTAGTGAAGGAACATGACGTGACATAAAATCGACATTGCACGAAATACAACAGGAAATGTAAAAAAAAAGGAAAACACAAAAATAGAACTTATTTTCCATCCCTAAACGAGCCCCTGGTAGTGAAGGAAAATTACGTGAGAAATACAACAGGAAAAGTGCTGCAGTATAAAAATATTTAAGTCACTTAATTCTAAGGACAGACAATATCGCAGTATTTTTTTCTGTTTTCTCAATTCGGTCAAGTGTCGATTGTTTATCTTGCATTCACATGGTAAGAATTGAAGCATTTGTTAGGAAGTGGTGAATCAGAAAAATCAAGGAAGTTAATCTAAAATCCCCTTTTCACAAGTTTTCACTGAATTTGTAAATTTATAGGCTTTACATCTGACTAGTGAACTTTTAAGTGATAGAAAAGTTAACGACAAAGTCCTAAAAACTATCGTTTTTATTTGTAATTCTCATGGGAATTGGGTATTAGCAGTTAACTTGGAAATCCAACTTATACTCCCACGACACGTTCTAAAGAGGTATTCATGAACACTCAAAAGTGTTCTACATGTTCCTTTATATTTTCAACCATTGTTTACGAATTAATAGATCTTCCTTCACTCTACTGGATGCAAAAAAATACCCAAATGTCATTACACACAACATTACATTAGTAGGTCTGTCAAAAAATCCACGAAAACTCTATCCAAATTATCTACTATTTAAATAGTCTTCGAAGTTCTTGTGAAACTAACTACTCTAGAGGCGATGTGAATCGGTTGTAGAAGTGAAAAAAACCCAAAGATCTGTTAGAGTATATACAATCTACGTCCATTTACTAAAGAAAGTAATGAAACAGTGTAGAAACATTTGACTTTCTGCCTTTAACACAATTATTCCTCATTCTAAACTTTAAGAGATTAATTGAAAGAATTAGCTCAACTTTGACTAATAAAAAAGGATAACCAAAGCAGAGATTCAAAGTTGTAGCTTACAATGAAGCTATTTAACAAAAAGTTCTTCATTATTAAGTTGAATGCATCTTTTCAAAAGTTTGACAGACGCTTTCATGATCAGGGTGACCGTTATTGAATATGTGTGTTACAGATTTCCACGCACATGTTCCTTTCCTCCTCGATTGTGGCATCACCGAATGCAACTTAAAATCGAAAATTACTCGGAATGAGCAACACGACGGGTGCCGCTAGTAGAGCAGAAACTGTTCATCCTTCCGGAGCACCTGGGTTCATCCCAATGTTTGCCATTTTAGTGGGGTTTTTGCTCGGTCTTTAGTTTATCTAGATTTTATTTAGATTCTTGTTTTTTGTTTTGTCTGTTGGTCCCTAAGGGTATCATCAGCTCAGAAGTCAGTGTTTCAGTACAGATTTGATTTATAAAAACTTTTCTTACATTCTTCGTTGATAAATTGAGTAATTATTAAGAAACTAAGGTTCAAACTCTCTTAAGCAAAGTTAAACTTAGATGAAATTGGATATTTTTTTAGGTTCTTTTTGGTCATACGTATAGATCTTCACGTTTTTAGCTCTTATACATCCGGGGCTTTCAAGTGTTTGGGTCTGAGCGTTATTGGTGAAGGTATACAAAATAGTCACTTCGGACGAACGAAATTAAAAGTACATGTATATTTAACATACAAAATCCCGAAAGTGTACAAGAATACAGCTTGTTAGACTTTGTACATATTATAATGGAAACTTTAATACAGGTATAGCAAATGCTGGTGAAATTAAATAAATTAAGACTATAAAAGACAATGAATCCAAAAACTATGAATATCTCATATTAGAACTTCACTTTCTGTTGCTATTTTTTGTGTAAAACAGAGAAATATACAATGCATCCTCTGTCTAATGAAGAGCCATCTTTCGTTTATAGACATATTTTACATTTTCTCTTTTGTTATCTGTTCCTTCTGATGCATATACTAATTTTATTACACTTAGAAAGATAAGTATATCACAAATTGATGGTAATCGTAACAGGAAAACCAATTTGATAGCAATTGAAAATAACAATTGTCAAAAAGTGTTATGTAATTATGGCAATGATATCAACTCATCGAAATTTGTTTACTTACTTTAGCCTTGAGATTCGACTGCTAGCTTGTAACTGTTTTTTCTTAATTTTATTGCATTTGATAAAAATGGAAAAGATATCAACGTTTGATGCCTGTGGTTTGCTTTCGGTTTATGATTAAAATGTTCTTTCCTTCAACCGCTATACGAGGTTTTTCAGTGAAACAGACAAGTATCTTTATCTTCCACCCTTGTTCATTCGAAATATTCTTAAATCTCCACATACCCTTGGTATATATAAAAAAGGAGATTCTGGGAGGACGTAACAATACAACACAATAAACTAATTTTAAAAGACATCTTACGGTCAGCATACGGTCTTCAAAAACAGAACTGTTTATTTATTCGTAAATTATGTGTGAACCGAAAAATACATTACTCATTTGTAAAACGCGTCTGTGCCATATTTGTAAACTTGTTAATTTTCTCGTTTGAATTGTTGCACAATTTACATGTCGGGGCCTTTGATAGCTGACTATACGGTATGGGTTTTTCTCGTTGTTGAAAACCATACGGGGACCTATACTTGCTTATATCCTCGTCATTTGAGCTCTGGTGGATAGTTTTCTCATTGGCATCATACCACATATTCCTAATTGTAAACTCATCTTTTTGTATTGTTAACGTTTTAAAAAATATAAACTAACAATGAAAAAGTGTCTCCACAATTTTTAAAGCTCTTTGTGACATGAAGTCTCCGCAAACTGTGAATGAATTTTATATAAAGATGAACAACGATCCTGGGCCAATAAAAAATGATTGCTTTTTTTCAAAACCCAAGGACTACCTAACTGAAATTGACTGTAACACTGGATATAAGCACTCACAAATCACTCAAATTAAGATTCTGTTTTTAAAACTTTTTATTACCACTTCAGATATTGAGTGATTATAAATATACATTGTTAAGCATGTGGGTTTTTTTTTCTGATACTTGACATATGGAAATTTTCAAAATTATTAATAATTTAGATATTTGCAAAATGGCCCATAACAGTTTCCAAGAAATTGAGGTATTCTTATATGCTTGAGATGAATTAGTGTATACGTGAATATTCCTCTCAAGAACTTATTGTTGAAAAATAATACTCACTCGGAGGTATTTTGGATTCTGGTCCTCTCATCATTAAGGTTTGTTCTCCATTTACGCTCTGTAAAATAAACATAAACTTTGAAACGCCCATGGAGACATTTAGTATTAAAACAGGTTTGTTCTCCATTTACGCTCTGTAAAACATTTTTAGGGCAGCAGCTTAAACTAGTGTGATATTTCAAATTGAAATTTCACTTTTCTTTGGAGTAATTGGTCTTGGGTACTACTGACCTTTTGAAGTTTCAAGGATTATGACAGCTGATTTATTTGACTAGTGATCTGAACAGAAAAGTTTGTATATTTTAACGTATGCGGGAAAAAAAACCAAAAACCAATATGTAATACCGATTCCATGTGCCCAACAAATGTTTCTGAATAACCTTCTTCAGGTATGCATATGCTAAAAAGGTTTGAAAAGCCAAACTTATACAAATATGATATGTCATTAATCTTCAACTGTTTTAATCTTTGCTTTAAGATATAGCTAGCCATAGTTTACGACATATGTTTTGATCCTTGCTTTTCGTGAGTATGGATAACCTTAAAATGGACCATAAAGAAAGGAATAATCTTTTGTAAATAATTAAGACTACTCTCTTGAAAAAGTTTGTTTTATTTTGTTTTATTCTTCATTATAATACTCCAGCTGATCAAATAAGTAAGTTATGAGTAGTTGTGGTTACTGTGGTTGTGTCTTGACACCGCATTAGAAATGTTCCAATTGCATTATAGAGCATATTATAAAGGATATCTGGTTCTGATTAACAACATATCAGCGTTAAGGTGTAAACCACAGTCAGATACCATATAACAGACATCTCTGTTTTCATACCAATTAACAGATTCACATTTTTTTGGTAGAATTTCACAGGTGTTTTTTACAATTTTTAACTTAATCAATGGTTAAGTTAAATCATCATATAACGTATCATAGGAAAGATATTTTAAAAATAGTTTGAAGTATATATATAGTTGGTGATTAGTGCGTCCGTCTGTCCTTTTTTCTGAATGATAAAGATAGTATTGCTAATTCGCTTAATTCGACTCTGTTTTTACATGTTTGGTTTGATTATAGACGACTGACAGTGGTAAATATCTCTTGCATGTTCAGTTTAAAAATGATTAAACAAAACTATAAATCAGCTACAAATTGGGGAAAACGAAAGGGAATTATGGAATTGGAAATGGTCTGAATCTAACTGCCATTTTAAAAGAAGAAAAAAATTCGTACTAAACTGAACATTGAATCTTTGGAGCGCTATAGTATTTTCCTACTTTCCAAAATAGCTGACCTCATGCATTTGGTTCACACAGTCATCATTGCATTTCTATAACCCTGCCTTTAATGACGTCGAAAGTAAAAAAGTAAACGAAATTGTTGTGCATTAATATAAAATCGTTTTCTCATGTTTAATACCAAGCTTCATTTATTGATAATGATTACATAGGTCACCAACGAAAGCGTCCTTTGTTACAATGTTATTATCATTTTAAATTGATTTGTTCAATGTATATTGAATAACATCTTCACTTTAAAAGATATATTTTAGTTTGTCTGTCTCTTTTTATGGAACTATTAACCAGATTGAACTGGTTCATGATAAAGGTAGCAAATACATATTTTTGTCATAAGCAAATGCAGACTATAATATATGTTATGATACTAAAAATAAAATCCTAGAAAGTCAAATGCGCAATAAAACTGTCCAAGAAAAATTAAAATCGATGGTACTTATGTAACGACATGAATTATCAACGATACTTACGATAAAATATACAAATACAATACACGTTGACCACACTTTAATATCCATTTCGGTGCAAAAGTTATATAAGTATAAGTGAGTGAAATAAAATCCAAATATACTTGTATCTTCACAATGTCATCCTTATATCTACTATTAACGCTAGCCAATGAAAGCAGAGTTTAGTTTCCCGTTTTTATAATATCTTGTTGAAGAAAGTATACTATATGCTATTCAAATATTTTATTTGTCCATTCGAATTAACTTGTATCTGATAATTATCATATAGTATGGGTGTAGTACCTCTTTATATTTAAGAGGCAGGTGTCGATTTCCTTCCGGTAAATATTATTTTAATGCGGAAAATCATTACTGTTCTAGAATCATTACGAAATTTCGGAACTTTGATTCGCCTACGTCAACCAATTTGTATTTACATCCCTGTTCGTTGTCGTGATGATACACCCTTAACTCGGAATTCTAACTTCAATATTTTACAAATTATCGTTTTAGATAAATGTAAAAATCGCACAAGTGCTATTATGACAACTGTTAAATAAATAAAATCTCTAAAAATTCACTTCCAAGCGCAATATTCAAATTACCCTATCTTAAGCAATTTGAATAGATAACAGTAACTAAAATAATCTTTTCTTTTGTAATTTGCCCAGTCGTAAGATGCACTGGATCATTTAAAGTTCTATAGCTTTATCTGTATCGTATTATATAGTATGATAGAGTACCATCAGTCAATACATTGGCTTAATAACAAAATAACTTCAGATGCGGTTTCTATAAACAAATGTAAACATACAACATGCACCATTAGAAAATCCTATGTATGACATGTACATTTACACGGATTAAATAACAGGGAGGACTATGCTACTTGTTTTAAACTCTGGTAAACATGTAGCTACATTTAAGTTAATTTTGGTGTTTGCTTTGTATCGTTGAGTTGCTGTCTCAATAGTGACTACCAACTTCTGTTTTTAATCATATTTGAATTTATATATAAATTCTCCGTTGGTATTTAGAATGCTTTCTTTTTAACTTCAATGTGACTTTTAAATCTAAAATCCAAAGATAGAACCCTCTATGAACGTTAGCGAATCCTTACAATAACTTGTTATTTTTACTAAATGTTGTCAGTGTTTAGCATTCAATTTGCTGAATCAAGATTCCTTATTTTAACGTCGCTGTTGCAGTTTCACAATTTGATTGTGTATTGTACTTGAATATCAAAATAATAATTTTGTGTGTACACATTTACGAAATTTACTACGTGTTGTTTTCATTTTTAACCAGGTTATACATTTTTTTATCTAAAATCTGTAGCAGTTTCGTTCTTACACTTATTGATAGCCGTTTTATTCATTCATTTGACATATGGCTGGATCTCCTTTTTCTTTTTTTTTCTTCGCTATAAGTTACCCGTTTGAATGCAAGTTTCGATTATGGGATGAACACGCATCATGGTTTGCATATTATTCTTATTTAGATTATTTTTAAATTATAAACGACATCACGAAAGTTGACATTTTTTATTTCAATTTGTAATTGGAAGAGTTGTGATCTTCTGGGTGTTTTTTTTCTTTTGTTTGAATCATATATTTTATGACAAATTACTATTTCTCTCGTTATAGAAAAACTGTAGTTTAAAATAAAATAGGGCGATCAATTTATATTCACTCTTTTCTAATTCTATTTCACAAAGGTGGCCGATTGGTCAAGTATTTCTTCTACAGTGATCACTAGCTTGTCGAACACTGAGGTTGTGGGGTTCGAACTCACAAGGTGCGTTAGACTCCGATCTTAATATTGGCTAGCACTGTAAATTTTCCTGCCGAAGGTCTGTGGTTCTCTCTTCGTTCTTCGTATTCGGCTATAAAATAAAAACTGACCGTCGTGATTTAGCAAAGTGCTAAGAGTGGCGCTTTACACAACTATCAATTAATCATTTAAACATAGTGTAAATTTGCTGGAATTTATTCTTAGTATAGTATAATATTTGTTTTTATATATTTATATATCTCTTGCTTGATATTAAGAACATACATACATTTTTTAAAGGAGTAAAAGTCATTTGTTTAGTTATTTTTATTGAATGTGTCATATTTTAGGTTACTGTGTATCGTAAGTATGACTATTTTGTTGTCAACTGCCAATTCGTCGCCCTTTTCATGCTGTTGAGTTTCTCAATCGTTAGTTTTCTGTGTAGTACTCAGTGAACTGTCAGTGAATCCCGAACAACGACGATCACTTTGAAAATATTAAACGTCTCCGAACAGAATGGAAACTGCTTGGTTGCGTCTTATTATGTTTTAATCTCATTTTTGAATAACAGCATTTCATTAATCATTTTACTTAATAGTACTATCCAATTTGAAAAAATAATTCAAACACACAAAATTTGACAGAAATAAAGCTCTCCTAGTGTTTAATGTAGATATAATTATGAACATACTCTATAAAACGTACGAATTTAGATTAAGTTTTAATAACATTGTTACGGATTTCAAGTGCAAAGTCTAAATTATTAAAAGTCAAGGTGTTTTAACGCACAGTCTGAGTAACTTTTAAATAGAAATCTAAAAAAAGAATAATTCACAAATTATTACAATTGTGAACTGACCTTGCAGATTTATCTATTTGCTCGTATTGAGCAGAATTAAGACAAGGTGTATGACAAAACTATAAAAATGATGATAGCTTTACCCTTTGGTTTTAGATTCCTCTCTACAGACATAATTTCTTGATATATTTTTGAACAGATATATCATGTTATGGAGGGGTATTTGCGAAAAATACCAGTCAAGGGACTGTAAAATTTCCCGAGCCGCTAGGCGAGGGAAATTCGGTCCCAAGAATGGTATTTTTCGCAAATACCCCTCCATAACATGATATATCTGTTTAATTACACCGAATAGATTTGGATTGAAACTATTTCATTAACATGTTTATGCATAATTTTGAGGATAAGAGGATATTATCATAGAACTGCGGGAATTATACATGTACTAATACGCGTTAGCTCGCATTTTTATGTAACGTCATATCCGAAAAATTTTGACGGGAAAATGCTCGAGAGGGTAAAAAAGGAATATCCAAAATGGCAAATTCACCGGCAGTGGTGAAAAACAGGCAAATTCGTTTGAAATGAGGAAAAAATATTAGAATATGCGAAAAATACACTGGCTATCAACCAATCAAAATCTGGCTTTCTTATATAAGGTGTAATTATTAATAAAAGACATTTCATACAGAACAGTACTGAACTAACATGGTCTGCTTCATATCTAAGTGTAACACCTAGCAATAAACACAGACAGACGAACTTCATGAAAAGCTTGATAATTATAATTTTCCTTTTTTTTTTGTTGAGTTTTTGAGTTAGCTGTTCGTTATCGACTATACATGTTGTCACTTTGCTTTTGATTTGTTTTGTTCATGTGTTGTACTCTGGATTTAAATTTTTGAATTCCCTGTTCACCAGAGTTTTTTAAATTTAACAACCTGAACCCAATTTTAAACCGGGATGAAGTTATATTTTCTGGAAGAGTCAGCATTTCCTTACACACTAGTGACACACTTCGTGTTGTTCATGAGATGTAAAGATCCGATGAGAAGTTTAAATTAGAAGTCACAGTAGTATACCGACGTTCTTATATCATAAATCTATTGAGAAGCTACAAATCAAGGTAAAAAAAAAACAAAAACTGAAGGAAAAACGAGGATTGGACAAGATTAAGACTGCAACAAATGATCATATCCATGGTCATTTTTGACACATATGCACCCAAGTGGTCAATGATATTCACAATTAATGGCTTTAACTTAACTATTTGGGACCCTTAGTACAGTAATTCATGTCCTCAGTGACCTATCACAATCAAATCGACATAAAAACCTTAATTCCATGACTCATACTCTCATTGTCTTCTCCTTCCTAGACATTTCTTTTATTCTGCATTCGTCAGACTTTTGATAAATCACCTGTTCATCACAGTATATTTCTATTTGACCTTGTCACATGCCTTGCATGTTCTTCGAATTACCTAAGTACATCAATTGTTAGATTTACAATTCTGTTATGCATTGTAATGTCACAGTACCCAAGTTGCACCGAATACTCAAATTGCACCGAGTACACATATTGCACCGAGCACCCAAATTGCATCCAATGAGCAAAAATAGCAGCTGAAATCTTACAAGTTTTCTTAGAGACTAAACAATTTGTATTTTTATGATTTGACATTACGCACGTCTTTTAATATAGCTAAATATATTTAAATATACAAAAAACGGTCACATTATATATCACCAGAGGAAGTATCCAGTGAAAAAAGTAAAAACTACGGAAACGTCGCAATGCGAGGTCCACAAAAAGTTAACTTTTAAAAAATAGCAATTAGAATATGTCCCAGGTATCAATTTCTTAAAAAATGAATAGTAAGAATGGACTAAATTGTTCTAAAAACGTGGAGAAATAAAACAAAACATCAGTTATTCTTTTTTTAAGGATGTAAATTTAAGCACTTGACTCAAGCTAGCGAACAATTAGGAAGCATAACTAAAAACCACAATATCACATAGAACAATCACGTTTTTTTCGAGCTAGGGAACAATTACAGAGATCTAGCGAACAATTATTAGAATACATAAAATCTTAAATAAAAACGACAAAATAAATTTAAAACAAAAGGGAGCCCATACTTCATATATTAAGAATACAAAGCTTTTCTTTCCGAACTAAATAAATCCATATAAGGCATTCAATAGACAGCTAGATTACAATGATCATAAGGTAACACATTGACACAATGCGATTGAGGGAAAAAGGGAGGGGGTGCACTTACTGAAATTGAAAAAATATGGGGAGGACAATTTAAGTTAATTTTGGATCAATTTATAGACTAGATAGGTATATTGTAGAGGCAACACTGGCGCATCGTTAAGGAAAAAAACAATGTTATGTTCGAAAATCTGAAGTTAGTTTTAAAGAACTAAAATTGACAAAATGAGATTAGGGGGAAGACAATTTAAGTTAATTTTGGATTAATTGATAGAGATTGTGACGGGCAACGACTATATAGGCATTGTAGAGTAGACATTGGCGCAACGTTTAGGAAAAACTCCAGAGTGGTTTTTGTTCGAAAATCTGAAGTTAGGGTTTAAAAACTGAAATTGACGAAATCAAATTAGGGGGTAGGGCAATTTAAGATAATTGTTGACCAATTTATAGAGATTGTGACTGGCAAAGACTATATAGGTGCTGTAGAGGAGCAGTGCTGCATTGTTTATGAAAATCTCCAATGTAGTTCATGTTCGAAAAACTGAAATTGACAAAATATATTTACGGGGTATGGCACTTTAAGTTAAATTTGGACCAATTCATTGAGATTGTGACGGGCAACGACTATATATGTGTTGTAGAAAAGACATTGGGACATCCTTTAGAAAAATCGCCAGAGTTGTTCGCTACAATTGTTCGCAATCTTGAGTCAAGTAATTTAAGCATTGCGGCAATTTGGGTACTCCTCATTACAGAATCATGGGTCGTTTGGATGTCGATTCAAACCCATTTTTTTCTATGATAAGATATGGATTTAAAATGTAATTGGTGGAACTATATAGTAAATAAGGATACATCTACAAAATAAACACACAATGGAAACTTTTGTCTGGATCATAAATAAACGTAGGTGAAAAAATAGGTGCA